CTTTGGATTCTGTGACAGTATATATCTTGGAAATCCGGAGACATAGATTTTTGTAATTTATTAAGCCAATGTTCTCAGGAGAAAACTGCAAGGGAATGAGGAAGCCTGGACAGGACCAGGAAAGAACCTAGGCAAATATACAGTTTCAGGAGAAATATTGCCTCAACTTGTCTCACCAGATCTCTGGAACATGCCTGTGTACCACAGATGCAAAAGGGCTGGGCTTTTATCTCCCTACATCTGTCATGGTCTAGGGGTTGTTCCAGAGGATGGAGTAGAGGCATAACTTCCATATATGCCCAAGTAAAGGTTCTCCTTGTAAGGGAAATTCTTCTGAAAAGGAAGCAGGAGAGAGTAGTCAGTAGAAAAAATTCACATAGCTGAGAACTGAGCACTAGCTCAGTGAGAGGGATGTGGTGTACCAGATGCTTTAGGTGTCCTATTCTCCTTCCCATCTACTTCAGCTACTCCAGGACAGGCTCTTCTGCTGCTAGGATCATTCCTCTCCCCATGCTCTCATACAAATCCAGCATGATGCCTTTAACATACTGAAGATTCACAGATTTATTCTGTGGTCCTGACTACTTTGAAGAATCCTAGAATTGCATTTATAACTGCCTACTTGCCATTTCCATTTAAAGATCTAAAAGGCATTTTAATTTTAACATAGATAAAACTCTTGATTCCTTTTCCCTCTTTCAGACCAGACTTTGTCCCAGTTTTCCTCAGATGCTCAAGTTCTCTTACATCTCACAACCTTCTGGCTCTTCATCCGCCTCTCTCCACCTCCACCATGCCTTTTCTAGCCAAAACTGTCATCTCTCACCTGGAACACTGTAGTGATGCCTCCGTGTTCTGTGTGATTCCCTTCTTGCTGCCCCTGCAGACTCTCCTCTATACAGCTGCTAGAGTGTTCCTATTGAAATCAAATACTTTAACGGTAGTCAATATCTGTCTGGGGACAGGGGGGCATACCTCATCAACAAGGGTAAATGCACAATATATATTTGTATTCCTAACCTTTAACTGTACCCCACAATTTTAAAATAAAAATATGTATTAGAAAAAAAAGAAATCAAATGCTACAAATTTGCTTAAAACCCTACAGTCAGTACTCATTGCACTTAGAGTAAAACCCCAACCCCTTGCCTGATTTATAAAATAATACACAACCTGACCCATATATATCTTTTCAACTTCATTTTTGCTGGGTGTCTCCTTCCGTCTCTACTCTCAGTCACATCAACCACATCTCCTGACTTCTCAACCACACCAAGAATATGCCCATTTTAGGACCTTTATTTTGGCCTTTTCTTCTTCCTTATTGCCACTCAGATTTCAGCTCAAAGATCAGCTTCTAAGACAGCCTCCTCTGATCAACTGATCACTCTCTCTTCACTCTAAATTTTCTGTAGACTACTTAATACGGTCTGTTATTTTTGTTAGTAATTTGTTTAGCCATTCACTCATTGTATTGTTGCTGTCTTACTGTTATTGTGTAAGTGCCTTGAGAGCACAGATGTTGCACGTCTTATGCTTTATAATGAGTGAATAAATGGTGAGCTACCTGTTTCCTTAGAGACAGTTATATGCTCACTTAGAATATGGGCAGTTTAGACTGTATTTTAAAATTATTTGTGTATGGAAATATTTCTAACCACAGAAAAACTGAAAACCAAACAAAACTGCATCCCACCTTTCAGTCAAGATTGATTCTATCCTGTGATTTCCCTTTGACATACCATGAAATCCAGTTACTGTGTAATCCTCTGGGCCATACTTAGATTCTATAAGATACAATGATAAAATAACTCTAGCTCAGAGATAAAATTTGTCATAGCATACAAAATGAGTGTTATATAGTCTGTGTCCACAAAAATACATAAAAGAATTGATAGTGTGGGAGATCACAAGCTGTTTCTTGTTTATTTTTACCTGTTTGCCTACACATGTTGTCATCTTTTTGGGGGAGGGAGACAATTCACCATGAGTCTCTCATGCTTCTCCACATCTTATAAGAGATACTGGTTGCTTTTTTTCTGGACTAAAGTTTCAAGGATATTTGTATAGCATACAGTCTTGGAAGCTAGATATGTGTCTTCCTCTGGAGCAAAGGGCAGGCATGGTTACTGCTCATTGTAAAAGATTCAGGGTCCCTGGGATCATGGTTCCTCTTCTGTAACACAACCCATTTCACATCTAGGTATCATCTCTTTGCTTTCTTTGCATTGCCAGTGCAAAAAATAGTGATATTCGGAGCACTGCTTTTGTTCCAAGTAATTAGCTATACTTTGTCTCTTTCCAAGGGATCTTTTGATTCTACCACCATTCATGAAATTGTGGCAGATTCATTTGTTAGCTTGCAGGTTTGGTAAGCTCTGGAATCTTTCACATTGTCTGTTACTCTTGCATATTTCACCAGTCCTTGCAGAGATTAACTCCCAGAGACTCTCAGCATTGGTTGGCTGCTATGCATTTTTCACTAAATGCAGGCACAAGAATGCGATCAACTTCCTTTTTTTTGGAAAAGAAACTTCAAATAATCACTGTGATAGGCAAATAATGGACCCCTAAAGATGTCTGTACCTAATCCCCAGATTCTGTAAATGGGGGAATTAAGGGGGCAGATAGAAGTAGATGGACAATCAGCTAATCCTGAGATGGAGAGATTATCCTAGATTATCTAGGTGGACTTAGTGTAGTTATAGGGTTTAAATGTAAAAGAGTCAGAATCAGTGTGATGCGATTTGAGAGAGACTCAACCAGCCATTTCTGACTTTAAGGGTGAAAGAGGGTCTACAAGTTGAGGAATGAAGGCAGGCTCTGGAAGCTAGAAAAGGCAAGACAGTAGATGATCCCTTCGAGTTTCTAGAAGGGAACATAGCCCAACTAAATCCTTGATTTTAGGTCAGTGAGACTCATTTCAGAGATCTGATCTCCAGAACTGTAAGAAAAATTTGTGTTGTAAGTGACAGATTGTGATAATTTGTTAGCACAGTAATACTAAGCTAATACAGTCACAGATTCTGGATTGAATAGCTATATGAATGTATTTTGACTGTCTTTACATTAGAAGAAGGTCTGCAAGATGGTAGATGTATTTTACTTTTAAAAAAATAGGATAATGGTAATTCTCAGGCAAAAGTACATATGCAAGTGAAAGCTTTACCATTAATTTTTAGGATAAGAAATTTCACTGTATATATATCTATGATTACTTCTTTATATTAATTGAAACTATTGGCATACATTCATACTAAGTACTAAGTGATGTTGAAGCAGAAATTGTAAATTGCCTAAATTTCCCTCTTAATTTGTTTTGTTTTATGTGAATTCCTTAGTTTGCTAAAACTCCTTTAATTCCTTTTCTTTTACCCTTATTATTAAAATTCTGAAGTATGCAGTTGGTAATTAAATCTGAATGGTAAATTATGTTTGAGGGTAAAAAAAATTTTTTTGTCTCTTGGAAAGTACAATTAAATTTTACAACAAAGAGAATTGCTATGTTTTAGGGAACTATCCTGTACCACTGATTTATTCAATTATGGCATCGAGAAACTTTCTTACTCCTTAGGTGCAATTCTTCCTATGTCTGACGAGCCTGTCATTTATGGGGCAAGTACATATGAGTACATATAAGGCAGATCTTTTCTGTCCTACTTACACCATTTAAGTAGTTGCCTTTGTAAACTTTGTGATCACACAGAGTGCCATCAAAGGTAAAGAGTGCCTCAGCTGTATCCATGTACTATCCATGTACTAGAGCAGTGGTCTCCAAACATTTTGGCATCAGGGACCATGAAACTGTGGAAGACAATTTTCCCATGGGATGGCTGGGGGGCAGGGAATCGGGAAGGAAGGGATATCATTAGATTCCCATAATGAATGTGCAACCTATATTCCTCACATGCAGAGTACACAATAGGGTTCGTGCTCCTGTGAGAATCTTTTTTTTTTTTTTCAGTTGGAGTCTCACTCTGTTGCCCAGACTGTAGTGCAGTGGCACAATCTGGCCAACGCAGTCTCGGCCTGCTGGGCTCTGGCGATCCTTCCGCCTCAGCCTTCCAAGTAGCTGGAAATACAGGCGCACTACCATGCCCGGCTGTTTTTTTGATTTATTGTAGAGATGAGGTCTTGCCAAGTTGGCCAGGGAGGTCTCGAACTTGCGGGCTCAGGCAATTCACTCACCTCGGCCTCCCAAAGCGCGGGATTACAGGCTGAGCCACTGAGCCTGGCTCTGTGAGAATCTTATGCCACCGCTGATCTGTGACAGAAGCCTGGTCTGACAGAACCTAGAGTTCTGCTTCCACTTAACCCCTGCTGTGCAGTGGGGTTTTGAGATAACAGAATTTATTTATAAAAAAATGTGTATTTATTCTTATATTTTTAAACTTCAGTCACCTTCAAAGTATTTTCTTCAAACTACCAATCTACAGCCTGGGAGTCGGAGACCCCTGTACTGCAGCAGTCTTATTGGCCTGAATGAGACCACTCATTTGGGAGTAGTATGCCAGGAAGACCGCAGTTCTTCTGTTTCTGATTTCAGGAAATTAGTCCCATTGTTGAATTTTTAAAGGTTTGAGTCTATGGGTCACAATGTTAGAATACTCTTGGATTGCTCAAGTGAGTTATATTCATCATATGATCATCATTTGTGTTTTTAAATACCCTTGGAATGATTTGTAATGAAGTCTTAATGAAGTTAAGTGCCTTAATCAAACTTTAAATTGTGCTTTAATTAACATAAAGTGAGCATGAAGCTCAAGCGAACTTTATTTATAAAGGTAATTTTTGTGTAAGTAAAATAATTGTTTAAGATTATCCTGAAGTTTTCTTAAGTTACACAGATCTGAACAAAGGACTTTGTTTCTTTTCCTTTTTATTTTTTTTTAAACATTTAAAAAAAACCCCCAAACTGTTTGCTTTTCCACTTCAGTATTTCCTTTTCTTATTTGAAGGTGTATAACCTAAAGGTCTATTAACTCTCTCTATGTTTTCAGTTGACAACATTAAACCTGGGAAACAACATTTTAGAAGAAGTTCCAGAAGAAATGAAATATCTTACATCCCTGAAGAAGCTCCATTTATTTGGTAATAGGATCTGTCGATTTGCATCTGGAGCATTTGGTAAGTTAGTTAAAGAGCAACATTATAGTATCAAATGTAATCCCTCATATTTAATGATATTAAACTGAAATGAAAACTAATTTTTTGTTTTAATCATTTTTGTTAAAGATATTTATATACTTTTCTTGAAATTAAGGAATTTTATAGGCAACACTTTATTTTCAATTTTATCATACATTTATTTACATAGAGACCTAAGATAATAAGTAAGCATTAGTGTCAATGAATTTTCTTCTTTGCTGAATCAGTGTACATTTAGACTCTTGAATCCAGAAGCCCTTTTCCTGAACCAGACACAGTTTTTTTGGAAAATCAAGTTAAGAAAAACTCTCTTTGTTCTTTTCACTTTTTGTTATTTCAGATATTAAATCATAATCTTTGACCAAAGTATTAAACTTAAATCAATTTGGGGAGAATTCTAAAGAAAAGATATGATCTCCAATAAGTTGCCGTCTGTATTTGGTGTTTCCTATAAACTAATAATGTCGCCATACAAAATGATACTTCCTTATTTAACTTAAGTAGAGTGGGTTTAAGGACAGATGCATGACAAAGATATTCAGGTGATTTTTATAGCTGTGTTGATTTATGTAAGGCACTTAACCACCTTATGTGTTGGTCCCTAATAATAGAACTGGAGATATATTATAAAATTTATAAATTTCTATGAACTCTTGAGGCATGAATGGTATATATAATCATTATCATCTTCAAGCAGAATGTATCAAGGGCATTACTGCATATAATATTAAATTAGAGTTATATTTGGCAAATAGCACAAATACACTCTTGTGCCATCTTTTTAAAGGCACTTTAAAGTCTTAGGTCATGTATCTTGGAAAAATATTCTTTTTCAAAATAATAACTGTACTAAACAATTACTGATATTTATACACATTATATATGCAAAGCCTTAGATTTAGAGTTCATTATAATTTACCTGGGAAGAAACCAGTTTACACATAAAAAAATTAAGGTCATGTAAACCAATAGACAACAATATTTTATGAACTATATTGGGAGACAAATGTAAGCACAATTTGATGTATATAAACAATATTGAACATGCTAATTTATGCTAATTTAAGATTTATAAGGAATTTTTTCATGATGTCCTTAAATTTGAGATAACAGATTATATAGATATATGCATATATAGACATATATATGTTATAGGTAAACTTGTTGCCTCAAGTTTATCTATATAACTATATGAAGGGGGACCCAAAAACCTGGAATTTATTTATAAAAAATTGTGTAATTTATTCTTATATGTTTAAACTTCAGTCACCTTTGAAATACTCTCTGTTTGATGCAATACAACTATCAAGACTCTTTTTTCACTGCTTAAAAGAGTTTCTGAAATCAATTTTGATGCCTTTTAGTACTTCTGCCATTTTTTGTGTCACCTCTTTCAAAGTGGAAAAATGTTTCCCATTGAGGATTTTCTTTCATGCAGACCTCACTTGGACAGAGGTCAGGTGAAAAGAGAGGGTAGGGAATGGGCGTCATGTCATTTTTGGTCAAAAACTGCTGAACACTCAGGGTGGTATGAGCAGGTGTGCTCGTAAATACCCTTCATGGTATGGGCAAATGCTTTTAAGGACTCTCAAAATAAATAAATAAATAAATTCGCTGATGCTGAACACAGCCTTTCACAGCAATACTAGCTAGAACATTGATGCCAATGGGTTCCTAGAATACTGTCCATCATGGGTCTGGATAGCCTTGTTGTATTACGTGATCCTGTGCCTATGACCAGAGCAGAGTAAGTAGGCTAGAAATGGGTCCCAAGCTGAATCAGTCATATTTTATCTTTCTTGGGGATTGAGATAGAGTCTAAAACAGTTTAATTGGTCTGACACAATCACAAGACATGAGACAAAGATTGCAAACTGGTGACTAATAGACTGGATCTGATTCATAAATAGATTGATTCTGTTTTGTTAGCTTTTAAAAACTTTAAATTAAGTGCCTACATTTTTAAATCAGGCGAGTTTACAGAAAAATCTGAATCTCTGGCTCTTTTTTGTGTGTTTTAAAAAAGAAAGATTTGACAACACTTAATCACATTCCCATGTGACAATTGCCAGGAGCTGGCTGAATTACAGTGACCCTGTCTGTCAAGGCATGGGGTTATCATCTTGATTGCTGTAGACATTTGAGTTTGAGAACTCTGTCTGCCCGGTCTGTGAACATTCAAACTCAGAGGTAGTCATGGGATGGTTATGAATACATAGAAAAATAAAACAAATGTGTTCAAAAGAGAAATAATATAAAGTGGGAGGTAGAGAGAGATAATGAGAGAATAAAACTGACAGACGCTGTAATGAGAAACTGAACTATATTCTGCAGAGAGAGCTAGAGAGTACATTCTTGGTTTCTGGGTACCTTTTAGTTTCTGGCTCCAGTTTGCAGGGAGCCTGGTTTTGCCCTCTATCCTCAGCAACATGACTTAGCTTTGTGATCACCTCCCCTTTTTTGGTTGAGCTAGTTTAAATGGGTATCTGTTACTAGCAACCAAAAGAACCTTGGCTGAGCCAAGAAACCAGAAGGAAAACAAAGGTGTACAGAAAAATGATTTTAAATTATTCAAACAGATGGCTAAAGTGACAAAATTATTTTCTAACAGATGGCTTACAAAATTTGATCCTGCTTAATCTGAACAACAATCAACTTACATGCCTTCCTCAAGAAGTTAGCAGGTAATTTTATGTATAGCAAGACTTGGTTAAACATCATACCCCCTGCCCCCCATCCCCATCCCAGTTATCTGAAAGTGTTATGCCTAGCATCAAGTCCTTGTGGGGTTTATACACAGCAAAGAGGGATCTGAAGGACTGTGGCAAGCCACTAATTTTAAGCAGATGATTCCTTAAACACTTTGGAGAAATGAGAAACAGCAGGACTTGGTAGTTTACGTGTAAACTTTGGGGTTTGGAATAAAAAGTTCTGAAGCTGATGGTCTCATTGATTTCCCAGCGCTGGGGTTCTTGGAACTTGCTCAGCCACAGAATTGGGGACATTAAATTTTATTTCACATGAGTGTTGTAAACCATTTCGAGCTTGATGGAAAAGGTAATATAAAAGCAAAGGATTTAAAACTACGATGTCATTTTTATATAAAAACCCATATTTTATTGCGATTAACCAAAAAAAAAAAAGTTTCCCTCATCCTGCACATCTGTACAGACAGAATGCCATTACAGTGCCTTTCTGGAGCCGGTTGAGAGCCTTGTCCTTCTGTAGGCAAAATACCCTCTTGGGCTTTTCCTCTGACAGATGGAGAGAGAATGCTGCTCAGGTTTACTTTAGAGACTCTCTTTACTGCCTGTTGACCAGAAACAGATGTATTACAGAGTAAGAGCCTCCAGAGTTTCAAAACAGGATACAAAACTATGAACAATCCTTAACACAAAGCTTTCTGCAGCACCTAATGTCTATTCCAATTTACTTTTCCGTACCTTTAGCCAATATATTATTTTCCCAAATAGATTTTTGCAAGGAAAGTAATATGTTAAGTTAGAGCAACTAGAAAAAAATATGACTCAGTCTAATTTCTGTAGAAGATAAATATTTATAGCAATGAAAATGCCAATAGTGATCTGCTTGCTTTTTTACTTATTCAGCTTATCAATTGATTTATGTATTAATAATGATATAATGGAAAAGATACCTTGGAAGATCTGGTGAATGAGGTTCAGACCATATCTTTGTGCAACTAGTCTTATGATGTTGGGCAAGCAATTTAACTACCCTGGATCTCAGCTTTCTCACCTCTAAAGGAAGAATTTTGAGAAGAACTTCAAAATCCTTGCAGGCTGTAACTTGTTATGATTTCGCAATTTAATAAGCTTAGTTCTGTTTGAAGTGTGGGGTACAATATTCAAGGAATTGTGTAAGTCTCTAAGGTAATATGTTAGAAAGGTAATTAAAAGCTTTCACTTAAAAAAGTAGAATTACAAAGTATATAGGTCTACATTGTTTTATAGTTAATTCTGGGTTGTCTGTATTCTGGCTGTGCCATAGATATATGCTGCTTGGTCATCTCCCTAAGCAGAATTCCATTTGCTGACCCTGCAAATATTTCTTCACCATTCTATACCTTAATGTCTAAATCTGCAAAATGAAGATAATGATATACTTAATTCATAGGGTTGCTTTGTGGGTTAAGTAAGTTAATTTGAGGGCTAAGTAAGCATTGAGGGCTAAGTAACATATTTAGGGTTGAGCCTGGTACATAAAACATATTAGGGTTAAGTGCTCAATGGATGTTAGCTTTTTAGTACTTTTGGATATTATTTTTATTCTAGCTTATTTCTGTTCCTCTCACTCCTTTTCCAGAGACAAAAGAGTGACTTCTTGGTGAATTTAGGAAAAGCATTGGAGCATGTAGGGCTTGGCATCCTCCTCTTTTCCTGACAAGAAATAAACAGCTCCCTTAGCAAGAAAGGCTGAGATGAGGTGGTAACGTCAATTCATAGGAGGGCTAGCAGGGAGTCTGAGAGTGGTCATGACAGCTCTATGCTGATTGATCTTTCTGAATCCCATATTTTAGTTTTTAATTTGTTCAGATCCCAGGGAGAAGTTTTTTTTTTGTTTGTTTGGTTTTTTTTTTTGGTTTGCTTCAGCTACAGAGTATTGGTTCATGGACTTGGAATCAAACTTGGGCAGGTGAGAGTTTTACTTCTAAACAATCCTGTCATGGACAGAGTTCACAAATACAGAAAGAGAAGGAGAATGTGGGTATCTTGGGGACAGAATCTCTCTGAAAAAAAAAGAGGAGGGAGAGAGGAACGACTAAGCTGACGGGCTCAGTTCTTTCTCCATATTCACCAATCAGGGAAGTTATTCTTCAACCTCCTGTGGTGGATGGAGAATAAGGAGAAGCTGCACGTTTATTGCCTGTAGTTTTTCGTTCTAAAAATTGTTCTCCCTGCTTTGTGGAAACAGGGACAATGGCAGATACTTGTTTCTCCTCCTTCTCCTCCTCCTTACCCAAATGAATGATGTAAAAATTAACAATAGACTCTGAGCTCAGTTTAGTGCCTTGAAATAACAACTTTGAAAAACCATCTTTCATAATACTCTAGAGTCAACAAAAATAATTGTTATAACAATAATTAATGAAGAATATTCCCTGTTGCTTTCTCCATAAGGCCTAATCCACACACTATGACTCTTTTTCAATACTAGATTGACCTTCTTTGACCCTCTAAACTATCTGCAAATGACTTTGCTCCCTATTCTACTGAGAAATCTTGCTAAGCACCTCAATTCCCTTTTTTTCCAGTTTTTTCTCCATTAGTCTAATTCTCTTTTTTTCTTGATTCCTTGACATTTCTCTCTATAATAGCCATCTGACTATTGCTTTTGCTTCCTCCTTACCCCCTGTAAATTCTCCCCTGATCTCTCCACTCTACTAGTGACCATTTTCAAAGGTCATTAGTGTCTTCTAGACTGTCAAATCTAATGGTCTTTTCTCTCTGCTGAATAAAAATCACACAAAATACATGCATGAACAATTCAGTGCATTTTGAAAAATCTATATACACCAATAATATATAGAACATTTTCTTCAGCTCAGAAATTTCCTCATGCACTCTTTCAGTGAATTCTTACCTCTCATGGGCAACCAATATTCTAATGTCTGTCTTCTTTGCGAGTTAGTTTTACCTGTGCTAGAACTAAATAATGGAATCATACAGTATATGTTCTTTTGTGTCTTTTCTTTCAGATTCATCTTATTGTTGCATTTATTGGTAGTTCATTATTTTTGGTTTATCCTGAGTAGCATTTCATTGCATGAATATGATGTAAATTATTTATCTTTTCTTCTGTTTATGCACACTTAAGTTATTTTCAGTTTGGGGTTACTATGAATTAAGCTATCATAAATATTCTTGTACAAGTTTTTTATGGAACATATGTTAAATTTCTTTCTCATCTCAATTCCTCTGAGTGGAATGGTAAAGTCATAAGAATTGTAGACTCATAAGTTAGAAAAGTAGGTGTATATGTTACTTATAAAGGAGCTGCCAAGATTTTTGCAGAGGGGTTATACCATTTTACATTTCAAACAACAGCCTTGAATTTTATCCACTTTAGTGAGTGTGAAGCCAAATCTCATTGTAGTTTTTGTTTGCACTTACCTGATGTCTAATGATGTTTTCGGTTTTTTTATGTTCTTATTCAACACGTATATATCTTCTTTTGTAAAGTGTCTATCCATATGTTCCATTTCTTTCTAAGAATTAAGTTGTAAGAATTCTTTATGTATTCTAGATATAAGTGCTTTGACAAGTATGTATATTGCAGATATTTTCTTCCAGTCTGTGGTTTGCCTTTTACTTTTCGTAATGGTAACTTGGTAAACTGAAGTTTTTAACTTTGGTGATTACCAATTTATAAATATTTTTTCTTTTTTGGTTAGTGCTTTTTGTAGTCTCAAAGTTATCAAAAGATTATCCTATATTTTTTTCTACAAGCACTATAGTTTAAATTTTTCGTTGAATTGCCTCAGTACCTTTGTCAAAAATCAATTGGTTATTTATGGGTCATTTGGACTCTAGTCTCTTCCATTTATCTGTTTTTCTATCTTACTCTCATCAGGCTGCTATAACAAAATACCAAAAATTGGGTAGATTATAAACAATAGAAATTTATTTCTCACAGTTTTTGAAGCTGGGAAATCAGCATCAAGGTGCTGGCAGATCTGGTGTCTGGTGAGGGACCACTTCCTTGTTCATAGCATGGTGGCTTCTCAGTTTCTTCACATGGTGGAAGGGGCAAGGCAGCTCTCTAGGGCCTCTTCTAAAAGGGCAGTCATACCATGGATGAGGTTCACACCCTCATGACCTGATCACCCCCCAAAAGCTCTGTTTCCTAATACCATTGTATTGGTGATGAGATTTTAGCATATGAATTTTGAAAGGACAGAAATATTCATATCATAGCACTGCCATTTTTCCAATACCATAAGACCTTGATTGCTGTGGCTGGATTGTAAGCTTTGAAATCAGATCATGTGAATTCTTTGATTTTGTTCTTTATAATAGTTTTGACTACTCAGGTCCTTCAAATTTCCATATAAATTTTTTAATTGATTTGTCAATTTTCATGCAAAAGAAACTGTTGAGATTTTTATTTGGATCTTTATTTGAATCTATCAGTATTGGAAAAATTGACAACTTAGCAGTCTTTTTGTCTTTCCATTACCTGGACATAATATAGTTCTACTTTTATTTATAGTTTCTCTAAATTTTCTCAGTCATTATTTATAGTTTTCAATGTAGAGGTCTCATGTCTTAACTATTTCATGGAGGTTTTTTTTTTTTAAACATTGCTATAAATGGAATTTCTTAGTTTTTCCCCCATAGTTTGTGGGCTAAAATATAGAGATACAGAGATTTTTAAAATATTGGCTTTGTATTTTGTGACCCTGCTTTTAGTTCTACTAATTTTGTTCACTTATTAATTTGAATTACCTCTCTTTAACATTTAACCATCTCTCTAATTTGGAAATATTCTTCTCCCACACCTTCAGAGATTCCTTGTTAACCCTCTTCTTCTATTTCTCTGCTTATGACATCTCTGGGTACTTTTAATTTTTAGTGGTCAGGTGTTCATGTTTCTCAAGGATCTTTCTATTATTGTCTTCTCCCTCTCCCTGTCCTTTTTCTTTTGTTGTTTCTTTTTTTGCTCTTTCTGTCAGTCTCATCTATTCACATGGCTTCTACTATCTATGGAGATGTCTGTAGAGTCTTCCCCCAAATTCTCTTTACTAGCACTGATCACCCCCTAAACTGCCTAAAAATGTACTTCCCTTATTCTGTCATTACTTTAATCTAACACACTTCAACCTTGAGGTCATTATGTAAGGCCACTCTTAGCTTTGCAAGCAGACACATCTCCATCAGAATTTCCACACTGTTACCCACTAGATAGGTAATTTGGACAAGTTATTTACTACTTCTGATGTTTTAGTTTTCTCATATCTAAAATAAGGATAATAACTCCAACCTCAGGGTTATGCTGATGATTAAATTTAATACACAAGTACATAGTTGGTGCTTAGTAGTGTTAATTTCCTTCTACTTCTTTATTCATAATATTTTCTTAGCTTACTATTCCCTCCTATTGCTCTACTTTATACTTTTTTTTATTCAGGGTCAAATTCAAGATGTGAATTCTTTCAAAAAACTTGTCATATAACTCAGCTACCTTATTTACAATCACAGATGCAAATTTTCTTAGCCTTTTTCTTTCTTTCCTATGGCATTTTCTGTTCCCACTTTATGGCTGTATTTAATGTCTCCTTCTAATCATGACATGCAAAAGAGCAGAATTTATTGCTGATCTATCTTTGGACTTCCACAGCAAATAGGTAATATTCATACCTATTTGGGTTGGATATGTTTATGTCTATATCTACCTAGACTTGTACGTATATCTGTCTATATTCATGTGTATGTATACATATACTATATGTCTATGTACTCTTTTGTCCTCTAACTTTCTCTGATGTGGCCAATATATATGTAAAGAAAGAAAATAGAATTTACTTTTTGTTAAACCAAGGTTTTGATTACATCACATGCTTTTATTTATTTAATTTATTTATTTGTTTAGAGACAGAGTCTTGCTCCATCACCTAGGCTAGAGTGCAATGGTACAATTAAAACTTACTGCATCCTTGAACTCCCTGGTTCAAGTGATCCTCCAGTCTTAGCCTCTAGAGTAGCTGAGATTATAGGCATGCTCCTGGCTTTTTTTATTTTTATTTTTTTTGATAGAGATAAGGGTCTTGCCTTGTTGCCCAGGCTGGTCTTGAACTCTTGGCCTCAAGCAATCCTCCAGATTCAGCCTTTCAAAATACTGGGATTACAGACATGGGCAATGGCATCTAGCTGTCATGACCTACTTGTAACATAAGCCATCTGATTATAAACAATCTTTACAAATTAAATTTCAGTGAAGATTTTTATATGCTCAAATGATTCACAGTAGTTGTAAACATTTGCTGAAGACGCAAATGAGCTACAAAAAATACATTGGCATATGGCTTTTGATAACTTGGGCCTATAACAATGAACTTTCTTATTCTTGTGTGTTTCATCCATATACTTTCTTTTTTTTAGATTAAAAAGTCTTACCTATATGAGTATAAATCATAACCAGCTAACCAACATTCCTAGAGAACTTTGTTTCCTTAAGAATCTTTCTGAACTTCAGCTTAACTACAATCAGCTCACATGCATACCTGAAGAGATTAAGTTCTTGATGAAGCTCCAAAAGCTTTTTCTGGCCAGGAACAGCATTCTAGTTTTGCCAAAGGTAAGCAAAACACGAAACCACATTATTTTGTTGTTGGAAAATATGTCATTTCAACATGATGGGAGGTGGTTATAGATTAGATTTGGGTATCCAAGTAAAAGTCATCATTTGCTTTTCCCTAGATTAGATGTAGTCAGTTCCCAAACCCCTATGGCAGAGAAGAGTTCTATTTTGGATTATTCCACATAGCTAGAGCTGCCAGAAAATATAGGTACTCACTTAAATTTGAATTCCAGATAAGCAATGAATAGATTTTTTAGTATATGTCCCAAATATTGCATGAAATATACTTACACTAAAAAACACCTATTATTTGTCTGAGATTTAAATTTAAGTGGGCATTATATATTTTATCTGGTAACCTTGTATACAGAAAACACTATAAGTTTCTTTTATCTTTGGAGTATGTGCTATCTTTCATTTTTCCTCCATACTCACTCTCCATCCTTCTCCATCCTGCTTTCTGCAGGGAGACTGACCTTATGGACATCAGTGAGTTTCTTTGTCCTCCTGGCTTCCTCTTGGATATGGCTGATGAGAGACTCTAGCAGGAAGAGAAAGGCCAGGAGGAAAGTGAGTAGCAGATAGTATTCCCATGGTACCTTCTCTGGAGGGACACTGTGGGTTGGCTGTGTGTCTTTCTGGAAGGCCACAGCTAATGTCTGGTGGTCCTCTCATGGACCATTACTCTTTCCCTTTGATTCTTTAGGCATAGGGTGGTGAGGAACTCCCTCCTGATGATAGCCTTTGGAAATTTTGTGGGTTTAGGGAATGACTTTTTTTTAGGTTCTCCACTCCTCACCAAACTTTTATAAATAGTGCCTTTATTAAACCTTCCTCAAATTTCTTAGTTGGAGAGTACTTTTCTACTTGGAATACTAATAGATTTTTCTTCCTTCCTTATGAAAATTAGAATTTACTTGATAGTGAATGCATGTTGTATAGGAAGCTGAAAAAAAGTAGCAGATCAATTGAGTAGGCGTATAAATGTTAAATTCCTACAGCTTTATTTTTCTCTTAGAGGATATTTCCTTTAAAATTATATTCTGCAATGTGAATGTGATAATATGCTAAGGTGATAGGCTACAAATAAGTATATTTCAAAATTTTATTCTTAAGTTCCTTAAAATCCTAATTTCTATAAACAAAAAAGTATTGAAATTACAGAACAAATCTATTAAAAGTATAAATTCTTTATTTGAGGGAAAATAAATAACAGCAGCAACATCATCATCATCTATTAGGCACTATACTATTTATTGTTAATTGCAACTCCATGACATAGCCCTTCTTATTATCTCTATATTAGGAAAGGAATGGAGAGGTTATATAACTTAGACACAGTTTAAGAACAAAAAGGGGGCCTAAACCCATGTATGTCTGACATACAGGTCTGTCCTGCAAATCGTTATTCTTACTACAATTTTATAAATCCCAGCAAGTTTAAATTTTTAAAAAATTTAAATGCTAATCAGTCCTATGATCAGTTATATTTTTGGACATTTAATATGATTCAGTCTATCATTGTTCTTTTTGTTCTGCACCTTAAGTGATAAGGCATTGCAGAAAATACTCATTTGTTTTGATAAAGAACAAATTATGAATCATTTTTGAATACATTATAAATAATGTATATGTGTACATGTGTATATGAATGTCTATTTTCTGTTTGCATTTTATGCTCCACTCCTAGTAGGTCAGACACCTGATTTTATCTCTCTAAAGTGATCTTGAGTATAGGCAGATGAGCTATTGAGAAAAGGATGAGCCAGGGACTGATAAAATGTATTCTTCAGACAAAACTTGTACCACTCTTAGGGAAGTTGAGATTATAAAAAGCTCTTTGGATGTGAGTTTGTATACTGGTAAGCAGAAAAGTTAAAAGAGACAGAAAGAATTATTTTACTTAGTTGTAAGAACTAGCCTTTATGAAACTGATTTAATTTTTTTTAAGAGATAAGGGCTTTATTTAGTTGTAAGAGCTAGTCTTTATGAAACTGATTCTAGATGAAACTGGGTATTAAAAAATTATAATTAAGGGTACACATTTGCCTCACAATGGTTAAATGTTGACTGATGCTATAGAAATAAGGTAGTTAGATTTGTGGCCTGGTCATAATGGCAGCAGTGTTTGAAAACACCAGCAAATAATTTCGGAGATCATAAGCAAAGGAAGATAATTAGAAACTAAAATGAAAGGATCAACATATGATCTAGTACATCATTTCCCAAAGTGTTCTCCAAAGAACACAAATCCTGCTTGTTCCTCTGAGAAAATACATGGTCAAAGATACCGTTATGGACTGAATGTTTATGTTCCCTCAAAATTTATTGTTGAAGTTCTAATCCTCAATTTGATGATATTAGCAGGTGGGATCTTTGGGAGGTTATTAGATCATGACTGTGCAGCTCTTATGAACGGGATTAGTGCCCTTTTAAAAGGGACCCCAGAGATCTCTCTAGCTGTCTTTCTACCATGTGATACTATGAAAAGTTGGCAGTCTGCAACCTGAAGGAGAATTTTCACCAGAACCTGAAGTTGCTGGCATCCTAATCTTAGACTTTCAGCCTCCAGAACTGTGGGAGAAATATGTTTTTTGTTTATAAATCATTCACTTTATGGTACTTTGTTATATCAGTTCAAAATAAGACAAGTACAATTACCCCTCTTGGAGAGTCACGAAAATATTAGCATATTACAAGTACTGAGAAGTTCTGCAGTCCAGTTGCTTAACTTTGTTAACTTAAAGTTTCCTGAATTTAACTGAAAACTCCTTTTTCTTTTAATATCTGTTTATATGCTTTGAGAATGTTAGTCTGATAAAAATTGTTTGAAATTTTTAAAAAATGCAATTAATATGTTTTTATTAGTTCGAATGAATACTAGCTTCTAACTCAGTGCCCAGTGTGTAGTTGGCATTAAATATTTGGTTGCTTTATACAAAATCTAAATTCTTTAATATAACATAGAAGACATCTATCGTTTTTGTCTACCTAGCATCCATTCCTGCTTTTTCTCGTAACGGTATCATGATTTGACTTTGTTAAATCTCCCCTTCCCTGTCTATTAGGTTTGCCCGGTGCCAATCTGACCCACTGGTTAGGTCAGGCCTGGCCAATCAGAATATTCCATTACACTGGATATAGAGATTTGTTAGAGGATAAGCATCTGACTTAAGCTAGGTGAAAAAGATGGAACTTTGCTGGTGTAAATCCTAGAATTCAAAGGCCTCCGGGAGCCCGAGTTCTGAAGTCCAAAGGCAGTAGAAAAAGAGTATCCCAGCTCTAGGAGTGAGAGAGAGGAAATCACCTTTCCTCTGCTTTTTTTTTTAATTTTTTTTCTATCTAGGTTCCCAGTTTACTGGATGGTGCCCAACCACAATGAAGGCAAATCTTCCCCATTCAGGCTACTGACTCACACATCAGTCTCCTTCAGAAACATCCACATGTATACACTCACAAATAATGCTTTACCATTTTTTTAGGTATTCCTTAATCCAGTCAAGTTGACCCTAAAATTAAACATCCCACTTTAAACTTACTTTTTTCAGGAATTCTTTTCTGGCCTCTAAATACCAAATGTTCTATTATTTTTCCCCATATCATTGTGTCCTTAACTTTCACAACACTAATCATTCTCACAGCACAACTTTGCCATTGACTATTTGTGAGTTTTTAATCCTTCGTTAAAGACTGTGGGGAAGTTACAGATAAAAAGAATTTTTAAAAAGACTACAACAAAAATATCAACAGCAATAACAATAGCAGTCATGGCAGCAATGAAAAAGAGTCAACAACAGCAATAATACTTTCAAGTGTTTCCAGCGGGGTGGGAAGCCCTTATATCTTAATATGAGATACTGTGAAAACATTTTGGGAGTCTGAAAATCTCTGTAGCTTGCATAACACTAAGGAGAGTATCATGGCGATGGAAGACTGTATAAGACTTAAGAAGAGGACCACGTATATGGTAGACAGAAGAACCCTATTCAAGGACTTGCTGCCTAGCTGTAGGGAGTGGGGACAGCAGATAGCCTCCAGCTGTTAGTTTTAGTTGCAGAGAGCCTCTTTTCTTGCCTAAGGTTATGCTCTTCCTAGGGCAACTCACCCATATCCTGTGACTGAGCAAGGGAGGGATGGATATAAAGGCTTGTCCATTTCTGCCTGATGGAGGACAATTTTGATGGGCAGTAGCCATTCTAGAGCTTGAACAAATTTCTATTGGGTCTGTATCCCACTTCAGTTTCTCTATATGCCCAATCCTGCTTCCTGACCCTGCCTTTTTCAGAGGTGATCCTAATAAATATCTAGCACTCAAAATTATATCTTTGCATCTGCTTCTCAAAAATGCAACCCGTTATAGTATGCTAAGACTGAGGAAGAGGACAGCAGAACTAAAGAGACACACCATCTCTCTAGGTAGAGGTTTGGCCATCAAAATATGAGTGATATTTCAGAAATATTACTACAAGAGTGGTTGGGACTATTTAGTAAGTCATACTTTTAGTTTTCAATTTAAAAATGTTTTTGATATTTCTAGTTAAAGAAAAATACTACTTATCCTTAACTTGCTAGTAGAAATAGCAGAAGCCAGATGCACCATAATAACCATGTGGTTACTGTGGTAATGCACAATCACATTGGGCATGAAGATAAAGACAGTAACATTTATTTTCTTTATAAGGAAAAGGTTGTGTTAGCACAGTGCTAAGCAAAGGTAGATGCTTAATAAATTCTGGTGCAATTGTCAATAGAGATGACATTCCAGGATTATGTTTGTTTTCTGTTTCTCAAATATTTTTTTCTATTTTAATAATAGATAATGTTTATTGAGTGCTCACTACATATTAGACATTTCTTAAGCACTTTCAGATTAGTAACTCATTTAATTACGTCAACAACTATATAAGTAGGAGCTTCTATTAACATTTTACAAACGGAGAAATTTAAGTACAAAGAAATTTTTAAAATGTGCCTACATTTACAGTTAGTAATGACCAGAAGTGAGTTTTGAGCCCAGAAATAGTTTAACTCATAGCTGCCATGTTATGTTGCCCTAGAGTTGTCAGAGGAAATGGAGAACTCAAAGCTATCTGGCAATTCAGGACATAGGAGTCATTTTGGGGAAGATATACTGAAGAATTGGTCAGGTAATTAGAAAAGATAGTCCATCAGGTTTGAACTTTAAAAAAAAACCTTATGATTTTAAATATCAGGTTTTTAAAAACTTCTCTTTTTTGTTTTCTGACACAGGGACTTTGTGATCTTAAAAAACTAAGAATCTTAGACATAGCTGGGAATCTTATTCAGATATTTCCATCAGGGGTAAGTAGAGTCAACTTTTATTATAAATGAAAAATAATTTTGTTTGTGCTATTGGGAATATAAAAATACAGCAGACTGTAAAACTTGTAGTAACTGGAACCTTAAATTATACAGATGACTCAAAGATTTGCTTTGTTTTAGAATTTCAAAACTGGTTCTTTGATGTGTGTGTGTGTGTGTGTGTGTGTTCTATGCCTGTTGAACTTGTTTGAACTAAGTGAACTCTGATTGCTATCATAAATATTTTAATATATCAGTTATGATTAAATTTTTTGGCTACTGTACACTACTTTTGGTCACTTCAGACTTTTTGAAAATATTTCTGAGCATAAATTTTTTATCCTTTGTAATTAATCCAAAGGTGACACTTTTGTTAGTTGCTTTTAAGCCATAAACAATGAAAAGTGCACCTTTTTTCCATTTAGAAATAAATTTTGACCTTGTTTTATTTCAAAGAACTGAGAAATAGTATTGGCAACTTCTAAATTTTTGGAAATAAAGGACAGTTTTTCATATTGCATTTTTATATCCAAGTGAACATGTCTGAACATTCAACGTAATAATTAGAATTCATCAATTCAGAAGGTACTTAATAAATAATTGTTCACCCATTTTTTTTTTTCCGATTGATCCACTCTAAATTGAGATTTCAGTCTTTTTCACCCACTAGAGCAGTATTTTATATCAAGGATGATTAAAATAGGAAAAAAATACATGTAAATTCTATGTTTTAGAAAAAACGAACTATTTTTGGTTGTGATAAAATGCACATAACATTTGCCATTTTAACTGTTTTTAAGTGAACAGTCTGTGGCACTAGTTCCTTTCGCATAGTTGCACATTCATTACCATCACCTATTTCCAGAATTTTTTCATATTCTCCAACTAAAACTCTGTATCCATTAAACACTAATTCACCATTCCCTTTTTAGCTCCTGTTTTAGTTATATTTATAAATACTCTCAAATAAAATAGTTTCCCACTCCCTGACAACCACAAATATAATTTATATCTCTATGAATTTGACTACTCTAGATACCTCGTATGAGTGGAATCATACAGTATTTGTTCTTTTATTGCTGACTTTTTTCACTTAATGTAATGTCTTTACTATCTGCTTATGTTGTTGCATGTGTCAGAATTTTCTTCCTTTTTAAGGCTGAATAATATTCAATTGCATATATATGTCACACTTTGTCCATTTATCTGTAGATTCCCAAATTTTGACTTTTGTGAATAATGCTGCTATGAACATGGGTATACAAATATTTGTTCTAGTCTCTGCTTTCAGTTTCTTGGGGAATATACTCAGAAGTGGAATTGTTGAATCATGTGATAATTCCATGTTTAATTTTTTTAATGAATCACCATATTGTTTCCAAAAATATGCTGGTTTGAATGTTTAGTAATAATTGGGTGCTGTCAATATTGATCTTGAAAATGCTACATGATTTTATTCATCCTTGTGAGTCTTTTTAATGTATGTATGTATTATTATAAAGATGTGGGGTACAATTCAGGATTAGGTATACAAACATTGATTATGCAGGTACCCTTGTTGATGAGGTATGCCCCTCCCTCCCCTAGCAGTTTCCCTCAACTGCCAATCCCATTCCTCCTCCCTGACAGTTTCCCGTTACTACTGATTGCTTTTTTATAGTATTATAATTGTTCAAGGTCCCCTTATGAGTGAGAACATATGGTACTCTGTTCTTTGTTTTAATTAAACTCTCTTTGTCCTGTGATGCTTTCCTAAATTTCAAAGCAGGCTTCTGGTACCATTTCTTCTATAGTATCATTATAGATTGGGCCACATAATGGAGTAATTCTTTTTACATCTATCTTGCCCTTAGATGAGCTTACAAAAAAGAAGGGGTACTTCTATACTTGCTGTGTCTTGAATTTCAACTCAATAATTATTTGTTAAATGAATAAATGTAGCATATGCTCTCAAACTTAATTTAGTACTAACCTTAGTAATACTTTAATTTACTGTTTCTTCTACAAAGTGATTCTATGCTTACAATTTTGATAAAACACCATTACTTAGGTCCCAATATTTAGAGTAATTTTGGCAGGATCGGAGTCAGTTTCATCTGTGTAGCACTTATTTCTGAAATTTCTGCAAACACTAAAATAAGATGATCTGTGAAGTCATCTGAGATTTGGTCCAACTGGTTCAAATTATTTTGGTTCAACTGGTTCAAAATCAGTTTCCTACACTTAAAAAATGGGGCAACTGATGGATCAAGGAGGATAAACGATGGACTCTTGGTCATGCTGTGATTATTAGTGAAAGAGAGTAAGTTTCAATAAAATGATAGTGAACTTTAAAAATGATTAGGCTTGCTGGGCTCGGTGGTTCAGCCGGTAATCCCGCGCCTTGGGAGGCTGAGGTGAGTGGATTGCCTGAGCACGCGGGTTCGAGACTCGCCTGGGCAACTTGGTGAGACCTCAACTCTACAATAAATCAAAAAATTAGCTGGGCATGGCAATGAGCGCCTGTAGTTCCAGCTACTTGGAAGGCTGAGGTGGAAGGATCACCGGAGCCCAGCAGATCGAGGCTGTGGTGGGCAGGAGCAGCCACTGCACTCCAGTCTGGGTGACAGAGTGAGACTCCAACTCAAAAAAAAAAAAAAAAAGATTAGGCTCTGCTTTTTATAAAGCAGAGTACTAGAGAAATGAAGAACATGGACTTTGGTATCATACACACATAAATTTAAAGGCCTAATTTATTATTTTCTAAATTTGTAATTTCTTTTTTAAATTAATTAATTAATTTATTATAAAGATGTGGGGTACAATTCAGGGTTATGTATACAAACATTGATCATGCAGGTATCCTTGTTGACGAGGTATGCCCCTCCCTCCCCTAGCAGTTTCCACCAACTGCCAGTCCCATCCCCCATTCCCTTGACAGTTTTCCGCTACTGCAATTGCTTTCTTATAGCATTATAATTGTTCAAGGTCACATTATGAGTGAGAACATATGGAACTCAGTTCTTTGTTTCTGTGATAAGTCACTGAGTATGATCAACTCCAAATCCATACAATTTGCTGCTAAGTCCATATATTTGTCCTTTATGGCTGCATAATATTCCATTGTGTATATGTACCACATTTTTTTAATCCAGTCCAGCTTCGATGGAGAGCTGCTACAAACATACGTGTGCAGGTATCTTTTTTGTAGAATTATTTGAGTTCCTCTGGCTATATTCCCAGTAGGGGAATTGCTGGGTCATATGGAAAGGTCAATTTCTAGTTCCTTCAGAAATTGCCACACTGTTTTCCAAAGAGATTGTACTAGTCTGCATTCCCACCAGCAGTGTAGAAGTGTTCCTTTTTCTTCGCAACCTTGCCAGCATCTGTTAATGTTTGTTTTATTAATGATGGCCATTCGTACAGGGGTTAGTTGGTATCTCAGTGTGATTTTGATTTGCATTTCTCTAATGATGAGTGAGGCTGAGCACTTTTTCATGTGTCTGTTGGCTACCCATATATCTTCTTTTGGGAAGTGTCTATTCATGTCTTTTGCCCACTTTTTAAAGGGGCTGTTTGTTTTTTTCCTTTCGGCATGTTTGAGTTCCTTATAGATCCTAGATGTTAGGCCTTTGTCAGATATACAGTTGGAAAATATTTTTTCCCATTCTGTGGGCTGTCTCCCTGCTCTCTTGATGGTTTCTGTGGCTTTGCAGAAGCTTGTCAGTTTAATGAGGTCCCACTTGTCTATCTTATCTCTTAAATTTGTAATTTCAAACAAGTTGCTTAACTTCTCGGAGTTGCTGTTTCCTCATCTATATAAAAATGGCTATATTAAAACTACTAACCTCATAAAGTTGTCAAAATAATAATTATGAAGCAGTTTGTATATGGTTGGTTTCAAGGAATGAAAACTATTATGATCTTATATATTGTCTATAAGATATATACCAATAGTGAACTATTAATCAGTAACATATAACAGTTATCCACTCTCTGCTGGTGATAGTACAAAGTATCTGTCTACTGGTGATAATAGGAAACATTAACCTTGTGAAGTATGTATTTTAAAAACCTTTTTTTTTTTTTTACTATGAGAATATCCAGGTATAAAAACAGACAGAAGAACAAAATAAAACTCCGTGTACCCATTACCTTGAACTGTAATTTTATCTCAAAGATTTGAAACTGTATTATGTAGAAGTGTCTTTAGTTTCTTTTACTGCCTTATAGCTACTGGTTTTACTTTTTAATACGTCTTTATTTAAGTGTTATACTATTTTGTGACCTAAAATTTTGTATGGTATTTGGAAAATACAATTATTTCACAGCAATATATATTTCTTATTCACATAGTTTTTGGACATTTAAAATTGAATTTCCACCAGACTTTTGTGTAAGAATGTACATTATATGGAAATCTATAGTAAAAAATGGAGCTATCACAAATATTTGATCATATGTGTTGAATCAAAAGAGTTTCTTTTTTTCTTTTCTTTTCTTTTTTTTTTTTTGAGTTGGAGTCTCACTCTGTCACCCAGACTGGAGTGCAGTGGCCGCTCCTGGCCACCGCAGCCTCGACATGTTGGGCTCCGGCGATCCTTCCGCCTCAGCCTCCGAGTAGCCAGAATTACAGGCGCGTGCTACCATGCCCGGCTGATTTTTTGATTTATTGTAGAGATGAGGTCTTGCTGCCCAGGCGGGTGTCAAACCCGTGGGCTCAGGCAATCCATTCACCTCAGCCTCCCAAAGGGGCAGGATTACAGGCAGAGCCACCAAGCCCGGCAAAAGAGTTTCTAGATGATTTAATTATTAATAAAAATGCTGTCATGATCACAGTGAATTATTGACTTTTTTATTACCATGTAGTCAGATCTACTACATAGAGACTTTAGTTTCTTTCCTTATCTTGTGTCTCCTTTACTTTATTTAAAGCTTTTTTAATTAAAAAAAAATTTTTTTTTTACAAATTATGCATTCTACTTAAAATTTCAAAGAATACAAAAGTACCGAAGAGAAGT